TGTAAACTAAATAATAATAGAAAATTATAAAAAAAATGAGAACTTTTAAATTGTTAATTTGATACTAATATCAATATAAATTTTTATGGGTCTTCAAATTATATTTTAATATAAAAAATATTATCGTTTTCTGAAAAAACATATAAAACTGTATTATAAAATCGACAGAGATAATTAATAAAATAAAACAAAACAAAACATTAAAATTCAGATTTATCTTGTTGCGCGAATATGCTTCCAGTATTATTATTAAACATTTAGTACAAAAATTGAAAACAACTTATTATACGTTATTAAAATACAATCTATTTAAAATTTCAAATTTACAAATTATTAATGTGGAATCAAGTTCGTACAAGAACAATAATCAAATAAGATAATAAGAAAACGGTTGAATCACATATGATTTTATACTAAAATCACGTATAAAATCATATACAATTCACGTGACTTTGACTACGACCTGACGTTGCGAGCCATGTCGCCCACACACCTTTACGATGGTTGTCAGTGTAAAATCATATACGATTTTGTAAATGATTCGATTATTTCATGTTCTATTATTTGGTTATTGTTTTTGTTTGAGCCTCGTAAATAATTTAAATGTTTTTTTTTTATTTACCTAGATATCCAACCCGTTATGTGAGCCGATTAATCCCAAAACGACCACCTGCTTTATAGATAGCTCGAAGTTACCGTATTTGCAAGAGGATTTTTATTTCTCCTCTTGGCGATGGGAGTTGTTGCAATGCTTTTAAAAGAGAAAAAAATGAACCAAACGCAAGACCATAACATAGCCCTGAAGTGCAAAGGAAACATTGGTCGTTCTGTTGCATCATCTCCATAAGTGGCTGTTAAGGTAACCATCGATGGCGTAAAAGCTTAATCAAGACTCTTGCGTGCCCGAAACCCTCCAAGAAACTCGGGCTTTACAATCTCTTCAATACAACCCACATTAAATTCTGCATAATTCGTTTCTTAATTACTAGCACAGAGACCAAGAACACCAGTGAAGAACACACACTGTGGGTCTGATTGTGTTTGTGCGAAAGGTTGTGTTTGTATATGTTCAAAGATCAGAAGCCAACCTGGGAAAGCACGGAGAGTTGCTGTTGGATGGCATTTTCGACTGCTTCCATGAAATCACGGCGGCGCTTGCTTTCACTAGGATGACGGACTCTGCTTACCGTGTTGAAACCATATCCCGCCTCGCTCAATGGCGTATCGATAATTTCGCGTCTTCTTCGTACCGGAAATCTGATCCTTTCAAGATCGGCAAGTGGAATTGGTAAATTCATTTTTCAGTTTTACTGTTTGAAGGTTATGTTTTTCTTCAAGATCTAGCTACCCATCAGTCAAGTGTTCGACGAAATGCGCGACTGAAACTAATGGGAACATGGAGTTCTTGATGCAGTTTTTATAGTTCTTTTGTGGGTCTAATATCTTAAAAGATGAGATTAGTGATGTTGGGTTTTTGTGATTTTGTAAATTGAAGGCATTTAGTTCTGGAAAAGAATCGAACTTTGTTGATAAAACTCTTCCCAGAGATACCAAAGTTAGCTAGAGATAATCCTCCGATTGCTTCCTTCAGCATTCGTATAGTTTCTTTGTTGGGAGGTCGCACAACTTTGGTTCATCCAGGTAAGTTTAGTCATACTCGCTTCATTAGAAAAACTGAGTCCGGGGCCATTTACTAAACGTTTACCGGGTTAGTGCTTATTAGCAAGAGCTTATCACTCCCACTTACCTTATCGGGAAACATTCTCAGCAATCAAAATTGATTGTTGAAAAGCACTATCTGGATAAGACTCTTATTCTTTGATCCTTGTCATTCTTACTCGGTAAGGTAAATAATCCTCAGCAAGTGCTTACCAGTAAATATTTGGTAAATAGCCTCTTACTATATACGATTCGAAAGATGACCCTATTGCAAGATGTCTAGCACAACCAGTAGTTAATGTGTCTTTCTTTATTCGGTATGATTTGGATGCAGAAATTAGGGATAAGCAGCTTAAAATTGGGGTGGATTTCGTTTGGAAAGTTGAGGTTCCATTGGCAGGGAGATTCATCATCGACGTTGAGTTTCTTGACCTCAAGACTGTACCTCCAAACGTAATTCGTTCATCTTTCTTTTCAGTTTTTGAAGATTTTACGGTATATTTACTGTTTTCTGAAAGGATCAAGTCGCTAAATTTCAACATTTATTTAGTTGTTGGTGAACCAAACTTATGACACTAGCATTTAGATATGTTGTTTCTTTCAACAAGTAACTTTTCTTATCTAGGATTTAAACTAAGGTCATGAATCAATGTCATATGTCAATAGCCTCCTTTATTCAATATATATATATAGAAGGTCGTTTAACCAAATGCTCGTTTGTTGAGCTTGCTTTTGTGGTACGATGTTATAGGGTGGCGAGCCTCATTCCATTTGGAGTGAAGGGTTTCCACAAAAGGATTCAAATTCACCGGCACTCTCTTCCATTGGCAAAATGTTATCGGAAAGCATCCACACAGATATCGTGATTTGTGCTTCTGATGGAAACATTGGTGCTCACCGTGCGGTTCTTGCAGCACGTTCACCGGTTTTCCGTAGCATGTTTTCCCACGACCTCAAAGAGAAAGAAATGTCTGCCATTAACATCTCCGATATGTCCCTTGAGGCTTGTGAAGCCTTTCTAAGCTATATATACTCGAACATAAGACACGAAGATTTTCTGATTCACAGACTCGATCTTATCAGAGCTGCTGATAAGTACGATGTCTCGGATCTAAAAGATGCATGCCAAGAAAGCTTATTAGAAGATATCGACACGAAAAACGTGTTGGAGAGGCTACAAAACGCGTATCTGTACCGTCTGCCGAGATTGAAGGTTTGCTGCATTGAGTATCTTGTGAAGTTTGGGAAGATATTTGAGATTAGAGAAGAATTCAATGGGTTTATACAATCTGGTGATAGGGAACTAATTGGTGAAGTCATCAATGGAGTTCTTTCTGTTTGGGAAGGTTTCTGAATGTTATATACATTGATTCATGAAAATTGGTAATGTTGTCATAAGATTGATTTATATATATGGCTTGTTGTTAAGAAATCTTAATGAAAATTACTTAGGGCTGTTTGACAATTGCTGAATGGTTTGGTGTAGAATGATTAAGAGACTCTCATGATATAGTGTAAAATGAAATATAATTGTTTGGTAATTGTGTACAATGAAATTAGGGCTCTTAATGGTTAAGGCACATCCATGATACAAAATAATTCAGAGAATCAGAGGGTTTTAAAACCATTAAGAGACAGACTTTTTTTTTTGCCAAACAAGATTCACCTYTTAACGATTCAGATGTTGTCTCTTAATGGAATTATTAAGAGGTAAACAAACAACCCCTTGCTTTTGGATTGTTTGCTTTAGGGGTGTAAATAATTGTTTACTTTAACTGGATTCCTATTTTGGGTAACGTACTTTCAAAACTTTTATTGTGTAAAGTTTTGAATATTTAAGTACCTGGATAATCGGTTGAAAGATTAACGGTTACTATGCTGATGTGGTGAATGATGTGGTATCCAACTCAGTATTAGTTCTATCAAAAAAAATAAGTATTTTATTCATTTTTATTTGATAGTGTATTACAATGAGTCAATCTAGATTACACAAAATATCAAAAGTCCGTGTTAATGATTCATTTGTATTTCAATTTTTAAAACTTAATGTTTTAAATTTATATAATAACCGATAAACATAATCGAATAATAGATAAATTCTTCATTTTAATTTTCTTAGTTAAACTATGTAACCATTTATTTTTAAAGAGTGAATTGTGGATTTGGTTCATATGTTTTAATACTTTTTTTTTAGGGTCTCTATAGTAGGTTTATTGAGGATTTAGTCTTTGTGTTATTCAATTTGTTTTTGTTATGATTTCTTTGACTAACGCCTCCGTTAACTTCATTAAATCAAGGGTCATTTTAGCTTTTTGCCTACTCCTTTGAAAACAATATTTTACACACACACACACACACATATATATATATATATATATTAGATATATTTCAAATGCAACCATGTCCATTTGTACAACCAATACAACCGAATTAATTGAGATATTTATAGAAATGATGGGAGTTCATTTATTATGATTTGAATATTTATGTAAGATAAAAAGGGTTCATTAATTATGATCAATACTTTATATTAAGAAACAATTAAAACTTTTATGAAATCACATATTCATTAAATTAAATAGACGGTTGAGATTGTATTGTATTGGTTGTACAAATGTAAAAGGTTATATAATAACCCACATCTCTCTTACTCTCTCTCTCTCTCTATATATATATATAGAGAGAGAGAGAGAAAGGGGGGAGAGGAACGAAAATGATACCTATTTAAACAAATTTTTTGTCTCTTCCTACCCGTCTTAGTCTCCCGTTTATTTAAATACGGGTGACAGAACCGGTAAATCTATTTTTAAATTTTGTTTTTTTTAAATCAAAACAAAAATCAGTATCTTGATGGATTCTGAAATTTCTTACATAGCAAACCATTTATGTTTTCTTTTTCTTCTTTCATGAACTAGCTACCAAATTGGTTCTTGAATATTCAAAGCTTGGATCACTTTTGGCTCACTTAGCCTTAGCTCGAAACAGCCAACTATCATGAGGGTGCCATTAGATGTTGTAGCTGAACCTACTAAACACGAAATTGAGTGCCAATTTTTATAGTTAATATCTTATTAAGAGTTTGTTTTACTAGCCTCAGTTACCGAGTCAACTTTAGAATACATTTTCGTCTGGTTGGAGTTGTCAGTAATCAACTTTTTTGCTCAAATATTTTTAACTGATTTTGGGTGTTTGTTATTTTGTTGATTGAAGGAGTTTTATTCTGGAAAAGTATGAAAAAACGAAGACATTTTCGATCCCTCTCTTCTGGACACCAACTTCCTCCTTGTTCATACAACACTTCCCCAGGTTATCTGGAGATACCGATACTCTTCTCATTGTTCCTTTAGCATTTGTGTAGTTTCTTTGTCTCGAGGTCGCAAGACTCTATTTTATAAAGGTAATTAAACAAATTAAATATTCACGGGCCTCCAAATTATTTAACCAATAATTAGGATTAAAATATAATAAAGTACTTAATTAAGGATAATCATGTGATTTTATATTTATCTGTAATTTTTGTGACATCCTTATCTTTAAAATCAAATACAAATAATTATCACAACAAAATTATATAATGAACACACATGAATGTAGATGTGATCATTGCTGGTTTTCGATTATCACAACAAAAATCACATAGTTATTATATGATTATCACATCATAAAAAGTCTTCAGTTTATATAATTATTATCCCGGCAAAATCAGATCAGTATTACATCATTATCGATAAATCGTTGGTTTTCAATTATCACAACGTTATCGCATTGTTATCACAACAAAAATCACATAATTATTAGATGATTATCACATCATGAAAAGTCTTCAATTTATTTAATCATTATCACAGTATTGTCATATAATTATCGACAATGGATGCATCCACATAAAAGTCTATGATGATAATAAAAAAAATTTGAAGGGATAAAGATAAATCTAGGATAACAAAAAGTTATAGATAAAAACAAATTTGTTTTCATTTATTCTAATTTTCTTATGTATTACGTGTAGAAGTATTATCACATTTTCGTAAAATATGGGTGTTCTCGTTTGAATCTTTCCGTACACATACATATGGGGATGAGAACCCAAAAGATTATGATAACATTGAGAACTGGTGCATCATGTGTTATTTCACGTGATACTTTTCCATCTACGACTTAAATTTAGTGTTTTGATTATACGGCTTAGATTTAGTGTTCTGATTAACATATATTCATTACACAATGTGTTTGTTTCACAATACATTTTTATCCGTTTGTCAAACAAAAAATACAACTAAAAACTTTTACATTCTGGACCGAAGACATATGAAATAAACACATTGTGAACATATAAGAGTAACGGGTTGCTCGTTTACCTCTTAATAGTTCTTTTAATATGCGATCTCTGAATCGCTAATAGATGAATCTTGTTTAACAAAACAAAAGTTTGTCTCTTAATGGTTCTAAAACCCTCTGAATGATTTTGTATTATGCGCCTCCCTTAACCATTCAGCACTCTAATTTCATTGTAAATAATTACTGAACAAATTTGCACTATCATGATAACCTCTTAATCATTTTGCGCCAAACCATTCGACAGCTGCCAAACAATCCCTAAGATGGTGATCAAGATCATCGAATTGAGTTGGGTTCAAATAAATCTAATTGATACATAAGGTTTAAATTTTTTACGACTCGATTAGGTATCGTGTTGCTTCGAGTTGGTTTGATTTTTGTGCCTCCCTAGTTTCCATAAAAACTAAATAGTGAAAGAGGTTAGAAAATCCAATTTTCCATTCGATAGGGGGCTAGTTTGTTTATTGAAAATAGTTCAGGGGGTGAATGGATAAACCCTAAATTCTTAAAATCTCCTTCCGCATAAGAGAAAGAAAAACCCTCGACCTGTTCGAAGCTGTAACTCCCATTAAAATTTCGCCGCCGCTGCCGACGCAGCCGGAGCACATCTCTCAGCCTCCTCCGTCGCTTTGAATCCCGTAAGTATCGTATCTCTCCTTATCTTCCTTCTCGTGTTTGTATATATTTGATTGCATTTAGAGGGAAAAGCTTTTTCGAATTGCCAAATTTGTGGTTTAGCAGAGACCATACAATCGAGAGCTTTTAGGTCACACTAGTAAAACAAAGTCTGAATATCTTATATCAGTATGATGTTTATCTTTCAGATTTATCTTCTGTTGTCCTTTTTTTTGGTTTGAATCGATGTAAAGATGATGATTAAAAGTCTTATTTTATCGCCATGTTATGTTCTTCCCCAATTTAGATGCTAATCATGGAACTGTTGAGCTTTTGAGGTTTGCTGTAATCGTTAGATATCGAAGGTTCTTTGTGAAACTCATAGATTGATATTGGTTCTTGTTTTAGTACTTGAACTGTATTGAATCATCACTTTTTTGTTTACTCCACATACTTATTTGATTTGATTTCTACAATATCGTGTGTTGATGATATACATATTCTGTATATCATTTTTTGAATTTGAGTTCATTGTTTTTTAGGGCGTTGCTCTATAGCTACATGATGCAATCAAACAAAGGAGCTACTTCCATGGAAGTTGAGGAGGCTGTTCCAAGTGAAACTAAAGTTGTATCAAAGCCCAACTTTAAGCCATTAAAGGCTCATGAGATATCCGATGGCCAAGTTCAGTTTCGTAAAATTTCTGTTCCGAAACATAGGTATACCCCACTCAAGAAAGCATGGATGGACATATACACCCCAATATATGATCAAATGATGGTTGATATCCGAATGAATGTGAAGACACGAAATGTTGAACTGATGACCAGAAGGGACACTCCAGATGTTAGTAACCTTCAAAAGTGTGCTGATTTTGTTCATGCCTTCATGCTTGGTTTTGATGTGATAGATGCTGTTGCATTGCTTCGAATGGACGAGCTTTATGTGGATTCATTTGAGATTAAGGATGTTAAGACTCTTAAAGGAGAGCATCTCTCTCGTGCCATTGGAAGGTTATCTGGGAAAGGAGGTAAAACGAAATTTGCAATTGAGAATTCAACAAAAACGCGTATTGTTATTGCAGACACAAAGATTCACATATTGGGATCGTTTGCCAACATCAAAGTTGCAAGAGATTCTTTGTGTAGCCTGATCTTGGGGTCGCCTGCAGGGAAGGTATATTCGAAACTAAGAGCTGTTACTGCAAGATTAGCTGAAAGGTTTTGAGTGGATTATTTTCGTTTTTTTTTGTATGGGTTTCTTTCTGGATATCTAAACTGGCAGACATGAGTAGGTTAAGATTATGCATCCCATCAGCTTTTTTGTTTGCAAGGAATTTTGAGTTTCATCAATATATGAACATCTACTAACTTTATGGTTTGTTGGCTTTCTTGTATTATTTATTCATGAATAAAGTTGGATTATTTATGTTCTGTGCTACATCTTTATCGACACATCTTCCATGGAAAGAGCGGCTCTAGCCTTTGGGGTTGAGGTCGTGTTTGCATAGATCCTACCCTCACCTCTGGCTGGGATGCGAGAAATTAATCAATTTGTGAGAATGCGAGAAGTTTCAATATCATATATAATTACACTTTTTTAGATGTGTTCAATCATATATGATTAAAACGTCTATATGTTGTATTGTGTGTTTAATCATACATGATTAAACGTCTATGTGTTGTCAATACAACATGTGTTTGCATCAATAGCTCTTAATGCATGAGGTAAAAATAAGACGAACTTTAAAAATCAATTTACACGTTCAAAATAAGTCATTTCGATTCATTATAAATTATAAAGTCACAATGTACACATCTGGGGTTGGTAAATTAATTATAATGGCACAATCAGTCAATCACAGGTCTATTCATGTTCATCCCCCAAATAGATATCCAGCTGCTTGTTCTTCATTGCCATCAAAAAACTTTAGAGCTTGTATCACTGCTTCTCTACTAAACCCTAGCTCAACCAGCTTCCCAATTTTCCCTTCATATTCAGCTTCCTATGTTAACAACACATGTACATTTCAGTTCATATACTACTTTGATGCCCCTTATAAATTGTAACATATAAAGTAAATAAACAAAGCTCACATGTGTCGCACCACCACGTGCAGGCCCTGCAAAATATATTATGTCATCAGCAAGAATAATCGAACGGCCATGACTTCAATTACTTATTTGTGCCCCCGCCTCCGCCCCCGGTGCACCTAGAGTTCATTTGGTACAGAGGGCGGTACAAGATAGTATTGAAACTTGTCCCACATTTGTTGGGACAGTTAGACTTTGGGACATGACTTTATTAGTGGAACAAAAATGTATTTTTTTTTATGTCCCACCAAAATAGATGGAGTAAAAATTTAGCGAGATGGACACGTTTGGTAAATTACTAAACTACCCATGTCATGTGTAGTCCAGTCCACGTACCAAATGCATCCCTAGGTGTCAAATGCTCTCCACGTTTAAGAGGATTGAATTTGAGGAGGGAAATTCCTTGTATGGGGGGAACTTAAATTTTCAAAGATTGTTTCCGGGACTCGAACATGTGAACTTATTGGTTACAAAAAGGGTTGGCCATTTTGCATAGTAAACCAAACCAAACCCGAACTCAGTAAATCCCATTCGAAAGTAGGGTCTGAGGATGGGATGTATGCAGAAATAACCTCTACCGCAAAGGGTAGAGCGGCTGTTTCTGTGAAGACCTCTCCGTGTAGATTTTGCATAGTACACAAGATATACTTAACCTCTACCGCAAAGGGTAGAGCGGCTGTTTCTGTGAAGACCTCTTCGTCTAGATTTTGCATAGTACACAAGATATACTAACCTGAAGATTGACCACCAGAGGGTGTTGAGATGTTACTCCTCCCTGCTGATCCAGATGAACCCTATAATTTACAAGGATGAATGTTACAGTGAAGGACGACTTATTTTCTTAGAATTATGAAAAACAATGACAATTAAGGCCACATGACAAATGATAACGGCAAATTATTGGGGGGCGGGTATTAATGGAAAATCACTAAGGGCCTACTTGTTAGAAGCTTTATGAGCTTAATGGGACTCACAGCTTTTCCGGTCAGCTATACATCACTGTTCAATAGTGGCTTAATAATACAGAAAGTGGCATATTTAATAAGCTTCGAAGGGAGCTTTATGCAGAAAGCCAAGTTTTTTCCAAACCTGCCCTTCCAATTAAAAAAATATGCTCCTTCCATCTATGTAAAAATCCTTCCAAACAAAAACCTTCCCGATCTATACAGACAAATTAATCCACACATACAACTTTATCCACACGGAATTTAATGAAAAAACAACCAGACAGCCCCTAAGCAAGACACATAATGAGACCAATATCTTACTTGAGCTCCGGAGCTAGAAGCTTCCTTCAATTGCTTCTCCTCGTCTAGAAATTGGCGTGGGATGTCTTTTTCTGTTAGTTTATAAAATAAAGTTATTGATGGTATCTAACCAGGAATATAAATTACCGAAGACCCCCAATTTGTTTGGTTTTTTTAATGTACAATTTTTTTACGGTGGACAGAATAACGAACCTGACAAGAATGGTACGGCAACCTCTCCTCCCCCAACTCTCAAGACATTATCTTTCAGATCAATTATGCACTGTGGAAAGTTAACATTGTTCACAATCAGAACAGAATTGAATGGCGATAATTTGCCTTAAGTAACTCAAAAGCGAAGTTACCTGGTGTTTACGAAGCATGTCTAATCCAAAAAGGAATTCCATATTGGGAGAATCCAACACCACGAAAGAACAAGGATAGAAGTTATTCCCGATCTAACATAATTTCATGGATTAGTGTATGATCGAACAAAAGCAAAATGAAAGTTACAATTATATAAAACCATTCTAATGATATTCACCTTGATTGGAGCAACATGTATACGACCAAGAATCTCCGACTGGCCAACTCCATGAGCAATGCCCTTATAACGCTGGTCCAAAAGCCTCAGCAATCTAAAAAGAATGAAACTTTTAAGTATCATAAACAATTTACAAGTCAAATTTTAAAGAAATTAGAACAATTTACATGTTCCATAAATTAGACGCCGGAAGCATGCTTAGGGCCTAACTCTGAGCTTAATAGGACTTACAACTTATTCCATCAGCTATAAATGACTGTTTGGTAGTGGCTTAATGATATAGAAAGTGGCTCATTCAATAAGCTTTTAGGGGGGAGCTTTATGCAGAAAGCCAAGTTTTTTTTTCCCAAACATGCCCTCCCAATTAAAAAACAAGCTCCTTCTATCTATGGAAAAAAAGAACCTCCAAACAAAGACCTTCTCAATCTATATAGACAGATTAATCCACATAGACAGCTTTATCCATTCAGGACTTAAAAGGAAAACCAACCAATCAAAGCCTTGGTCTTTCAGAAATTTTAACAAAAAGGCACATACCCCAATCGCTCCGCGCAGCTTTTAGAAATTATGGTTGATTGGGCCCCACTGTCGACAAAGGCCTGCATTGGAGTATTCATTTAAGTATTTCAATGCATCTATGAGTATAAATGTGCACAGGTTGGAGAATATGGAAATGAAGTTATATGCAATAGCAGCAAGCAAACAATAAAGACGTGAGAAGCAAACGAAAGAACATGCTATTTATCATCATTACCTTAATGGGAACACCGTTGACTTCCATGTCAACATAAAGCATGACCTGAAAATTTGATTCAAAGATGTTTCTTTATAATTATTAACCATTATCAATTCTTTTTAATTGTTAAAAGGTGAAGAATACGTACCACTCTTGCAAAGGCTTCAGGGTTGTGTTCTAGCGCAGCAGCCCAGTTCTCGTCAATACCTTTCTGCAAAATGATGAGAACCAATTAAGAAGCCGATGTAAGAAGTATTATATGAAATAACAAAAATGAAGGTACGATAGGAAGACAACTGAATAAGATAATCAGGCATGTGCATAGGAAAAGCAACACATGTTCTTCAAATTCACATAGTAATGTTTAACAAGTCATATCAAAGTCTAGGGGGCATTAAAACCAAGCCTAATGGAATGAAACAAAATGGGCACATATTGCAAATACAGCATTGTATAAAATGAAATCTGCTACATGAAGCTTCATATGTTTTGGTTGATTGTGAAAGCAAAACGTCATTGAAATATTGAATTGTGTACGATCTTCAGAGATACCAAACAATATATTTCATCTGGAGGTGGGGTCCGGGGGTAGAATGCAGGCAGACCTGTCCTCTTATAGAAGAAGTAGAGTGGTTGTTTCTTTGATGACCCCGGCTTGTGAAAAGTGTGTGAAACAGAAAAAGCTTGCCCAAAAAGTTTGAAGAATTAGACAAAAGACCAAGAATTCAAAAGTGATGCACTTGGGCAGATAAACTCACCGGATGAATTGCAATATGGTTTATCCTATACATGTGTCAACCCATTTTAATGTTTTATAATCGGATATAACAGGGAAATATTTCAATAACTAAAATTTAGTGGAGAGCAGATAAAAAGTCTTTTAAGAGTGCTAATTTTCGCAACGATAGCTGTATAAAATGTCTGCAAATGAGAGAAGTTAAAATGTCCGCATACCTGCCGGATTGCAGCTTCAATTTTCTTTTGTGCTTCCACATCAAAAGGGTCGGCATAAAGTAGTGCCTTGTTTTGGACAAACAAAAATAAAATTAGACAGGATGTGAAATCTGCAAACTTATCAAACCATGATATAACTTTTTCTTAAGCAACTTACCATCTCTTCTTCTTGCTGCCGATGTAATTCAGATCTCTGACGATGACGCATCCTTAAGAGGTTCTGCAACTTGTTTAGGTCGTTCCCAAGAATGAGTTGCGCCAACTCAGGATCACTCTGTTATTCACAGTTAAGGGTTAGAAACCCTCCAGTGTAGAAATATTTGAGAGCTAACAAACATAATTCCACCTGAAACAACTGGGCCATCAAATCTGAATTATTTCTGATCTGCTGCTGAAACGCTGCTGGATTCACTGCAGATCCATCTGGGTTTAATATTTCATTGCTAGAAACCCTGAAATTTAAGGACTCCGTTATTTGGCTAAACTTCAAAGTACTTGCACGTTTAGCAAGAAGAAAGGAACATTAGAATAGAAGTACATGAACAATAATATGGGACATCACAAGCTTTTCATGTGAATTAGCATATGGCAGGCAAATCGATCATAAGGCCTAGATGAATCCACATATGCTTGGCAAATGGCAATGCAACGGTAATCCAAATAGACCAAAAGCAGTCTTCTTGCTTAAGTCCTTAAGAAACAGTAAAATCAAAATTTTAAACGAGATTTAACTTTTTGAATCATCGTGTAGATAATCGTTCTTCTTAACAAAATGCAAAAAGCACAATACTTTGAAGGAATAAGCCATTTTGGACAATAAGTGCCAAGGGCCTGTTCGTCAGTGGCTTAATGAGCTTAGTGAGACTCACAGCTTATTCGGTCAGCTATACGTTTGGTAGTGGCTTAATGATATAGAAAGTGGCTTAATGATATAGAAAGTGACTTATTCAGTAAGCTTCTACGTGGAGCTTTATGCAAAATGCCAAGTTTTTTCCAAACCTGCTCTTACCAATTAAAAAAACATGCTCATTCAATCTATGAAAAACCCACCCAAACAAAAACCTTCCCAATCTATACACATTAATCCACACAAACAGTTTTATCCATACAAGACTTAATGGAAAACCAACCAAACAGCCCCTATGATGCATTTTCATCTTCACAAGTTGTCCAAAAATTGTTCATTGTAGTGTTCTTTTGGGTACTTTTGCAGAAACAATATTTGAAAGTTAATCTTATGAGTAACCGAATGCAAATAAAAAAACCATACGTCAAAGAAGAGCTGTTGGAAACCATCATCACTAAATCTCCATCAGCAACACCCAAACCACTCAGTGTCTCGATATTCTTCATCTCCTTTCCATTGTAAAGCAGCTGTTGTTGTTGAAGTGGAACTCGACTCTGGTTATCATAAATATACCAACATTGAGGAAAACTATGAATAAAAATGAAATTTCGAGGACTACGTTATAAACTTCACAAACCTTTTAACCTGAATCGAATTCAAAATTCACGTTTAGGTCAAATTTGGGACAAACTCGTCGTTTTACCCCAGGTTAGAATCAAAATCAAGGTTGTAGCTTTTTTGGGTATTGAAAACTAATTGGTAATAGCAAAATCTTACCTCGATCTCAAGTAGAGCTTTCAAATTTTCCACCTGCGGTCAAAATCAGAAATCAATTACGGGGTTTTGTGGAGGGATTTAAATTCGAAATAAAAAAGAGGAAGCTTTAAAGACGAAAATTATGGAAAAAGGATCAAGAAACGATGCATACGGATTCATTACGATCCACTTCTAAGGTAATAATTTGTTCATCGCTGGTCATTACAGTAATCTTCATGTTCTTCGTGGATGAATTATGGTGCTGATTTTCTGTAGGTTTTCTTCTCAAAAACCTCCTGTTGTTGACCAACACCCACAGAAAATCCCCTTTGTTTACTTGCAACCCAAGATTTTTGCAGCGTCGTATGATTGGGTGAATCGAAATTACGAAACTGTTGGGATTTTATAGAGATCCAGATCTTTCAAATTCACCCACCAAATCTCTTTCATGGAAATTCTTTTACAAAAGGGACATTTGAGTTTCTATGCTTTATAGGCCTCTTATATCAGAAATATGCTTCATTAAAAAAAAATATGTTATTATCCCTTTTATTATCAAAATACCTCTCACTTTCAAATGTTTAATTCCTTATGGTTAAAACATTGGAAATAAATTAGAAGGGTATTCGCGTAATGCAGCAAAATATATCTTGATTTTAATGTTTTGTTTTTTATTTTTTGTTTCTGTCGATATTATAATATGAATTTATGTGGTTTTGAGCAAGCAATAATGATTTTTTAAATATAAATTTGAAGATATCATAAAAATTAAAAATTACATAAAAGTTTTCATTTTTTTGTGTAATTTCTTTAATTCAATTTTTTTATAGCTTGATTTAGGTTTAATGACGAAATAATATGTTTTTGGCTTAATAATACAATTTTTATAAAAAAATAATAATTATCATAATTATATTTTAGATATATTTAAAATGATAATTTTTATCATGTATTTGATTATATTTATCTACAGTAAGTTACACGAATTCAAATATGGCGCTTAATAAGTTGTACTTATGCACAATTTACCTGTAATATTGAATTTTAAGTAATATACATCAGAAAGCAATACTTCATGTATAAAAGATGGTTTTTAAGAGTTTTTGTTCAAATGCTTTATAATATATTACATAAGTAAATGATGCTTGTGTTGGGTCACCTATTGATTTGGTGATGACCCACTGATCTGTTCATCTACCTTAGCAACACTTAGTAGTTATTGGTTCTTTGTAAGTTGGTGTCTTGGTACATACTTAAAGC